GAGTCTACAGAGGAGAACTGTCGTAAACTATACAAATAAGAGCCACAAGTTCAGTGTGGACCTGTAGTTGGCAAATGGATGGACTATACAGAAGTCTCTTTGATGCAGTTCTTTATTGGACACTGCAGTCCTAGTCTATCTTAGGCTCGGTTTCAGAGACATTTTATTAGAGACCTTTATGAGTTGGGCACTGTACTAAACATTAGAGATACAAAATGATCAAAATGTCACTGTCCTCACAAAAAGATAATCACAACACAGGTAAATAAGGGGCATCAAAGAGATCGAGACAGGAAGTGAGGAGACAGGAAGGTGCAGGTCAGGGTTAGTTGGAAAAAGTACTACCCAAGTTCAGACAAACTGTCTGTGAACTGTCATCCCATTGAGAACAAATATAGAACAAAGGATGTTTATCACATTATGAGCGGATACTAAAATTTAAAAATTATTTCCATCTTCTAATCTAATCAGTGGAACAAATGGTATATGTGTTTTTGAAGCTACAGCAGGGGCTTGGTGGTTATTCAGCCAGGTTCTTCTAAGAAATAAAATTCTTGGAATTTGCTCAGATTCATGCCAAAGCATATTGTTCATTGTTCGAAATCAGATTAAATTTACCATACTCTTATCTCCAAGCAAAGTGATAGATGGGATGCTTAACGTATAATGCTAATGTAGACATAAGTCAGAGGCCAGGCAGTCTCCCTGTTCTCTTAGAAGGAATTCCATGGAGTTTAATCAGGGCTTGTATAGCAGATGAGTTTGCACTTGCCAGTGCTTTTTCTACACAATCAATGGAGTCTGCGGTCAGCTTGTGCGGAAACTGTCTCAGTTTCCACTTCCTGTCCATTTGACTTGGCAACAATGCCAGACGTCCACAGAAGTTGAGTGATGACCATTGTTGCTGAACACTTGAATTGTTGGGGGATAGGGTTTACAAATTTGTTTTACCTCCATGTTTGTCTTAGAAAGTCATTCTATCAAAAACATTTTTTAGAAGATCTTGAGCCCTTCCTGACTGGTAATGCCTCCAGAAGAATGTAGGGATTTTTCACACAGTGATTCCATGTGTTAGGATGAGCTTCAATTCCCAGAACCTTTGTGGTAAAAGAAACCTTTGATAATCACTTAGTTAAATCCCTTAATATTTTAAAAATTTATTTATTTGTGTTTTTTATTGAATTTATTGGGGTGATACTAGTTAATAAAATTACGTAGGTTTCAGGTGTACAATTCAGTAACACATCATCTGTACACTGTATTGTGTGTTCACCACCCCAAGTCATGTCTCTTCCACCACCCTTTATCCCCCCTTTACCTTCTCCTGCCATTGCCTACCCCTATTTCCCTCTGGTAGTGGCCATACTGTTGTCTGTCAATGAGGTTTTTTTTAACCCTTTAATCTTATCATTGAGAAAATCCAAGGCCCAGGGAAGCCCAGTGGGCCACTCACATCCAAGCAAGACCCTGCAGTGCCAGGATAGGGGGCCTTCATCTTCCAAGGTCAGGACCCCTGACACTTTACACTGTAATGTACATACAGATATCTTGGGATATCTTGTTAAAATGAAGATTCTTATTCAATAGTTCTGGACTGGACTACTGTAGTTCAGTAGTTCAAAGTCCTGGAGCCCAGGATTCTGCAGTTCTACTAACAAAAACCCAGAAGAGGCTGGTGCTCTTGATCCATGGACCACACTTTGGAAAACAACAAGGCTGCACACTAAGAAAATGTATCTGAGTGAAGATCAGCATTTGTGGAAAGAAAGCGCTGGTTTAGACGTAGCTGAAAATTCCAAAACAAATTGGCATACCGAAAGATTAGTGTTACTGCACCAGCTACTCCTTATCATCTTATGATAGCGATACGCCAAACCACCATAATGCTAGTTTCCTAACATCATTTTGGAATTTCATACTAATCAGAAAATTGGACAAGATTTTTCATCCCCTTCATCTAGTTGTTCTGTGCCCTCTGATCTCAAAACTGTTATTTAAGATGCAGAAATGACAGTGTTCTTTTTTTTTAAAGATTTTATGTATTTATTTTTAGACAGAGGGGAAGGGAGAGAGAGAGGGGGAGAAACATCAGTGTGTGGTTGCCTCTTATGCACCCCCTACTGGGGACCTAGCCCACAACCCAGGCATGTGCCCTGACTTGGGAACCAACTGGCGACCCTTTGGTTTGCAGCCCGGCACTAGTTCCGCTGAGCCACACCAGCCGGGCCACTGACAATTTTCTAATAAAATGTATATTACTTCTCTTAATTTGTTAATTTCATGATTCTTAAATAATGCAGTCCTGCATATACTCAAATGCTTCGCTCTCTCTCCCCACCCACACACAGACACATAGACCCACAGCATTTACATATCTTATACCATATTCTTTGCACGAAAACATGGAGTATTGTGTGATCAGTATGAGGATTTTATTTTATTTTTTCAAGGAGGCAAACAGGTAAGATAAAATAATCTTTATGGAATATATCTTTAATTCTGAAATTATCTGGTTAACTATAGGGTATGTCTATATGGATTTATAATCCTGGTTCAGAAACAAATACATAAATAAGACCCCAAATGCTTCAGAAATTATCATATCAAATAACAAAGAAGTTATACAGAGGGCAAGTTTCCATGTATTTTTCTTATGTATCTGTGAAAATGTTCTTATTGAAGCATGTGAAATGTCATTTTTATGAAAAATGACCCAGCCTCAAAGGTTATAGTTCTTATTTCTGTGTCTCTCCGGGTAGATCTTCCTCTTTTTACTTCAGCAAAAGTATTCTAACCAAAATTAACAAGTTCATTTATATAAAGTGTTTTGAAGAGTTCAAAGGCACTATGTCAATCAATATAAGACGTTTGTTGTTAAGCTAATCGATATTACTGTTAATGATCATTTATACATTAAGTTGAAACAAGTATGCACAGGGCGGAAAATCTGAGGCTGCCCATATTTTATCTTCCAGGACTTTCCTCATGAAATAGGAGAAGTATATGTATTAAGTCATGTGATAACATTTTTTGGCATTGAATTTGGCTTTAAGGGAAAATTTTGTAAACCACCCGTAAAAAAAATAGTTTTATTTACACATCTCTTTGATGCCAAATGATAGTATTTTTTCTTATTTAGTCTGGAGAAGAAAAGGTTATATGTAAATCATGAGCTATGTGCTATCAGAACTATTATTATATTAGGCACTTTGCATGATTCTTATGGTGTAAGTGAACTATTAGTAATAATTATGGCTCTGAGTGTTGAGCGTCTGTAAGTATATTTGCCTCCTAGAATCTTAAGATGGTTCCACTTATTAGAGAATGATATGTGGGTAAAATGAATCCAATTTGAAGTGCTTTAGTTACTGGAAAAGCAACACAAAAAGAGTGGTTAGTTGTAAAAGACTTCCACATTTAGGCACAATAGCCCCACTATATAACCTTGGAAACAGTAGTAGATCAATTGTAGAATTTTTAGAATTTTGATACATTCATGTGAGTGAGTGAGTAAAATGTGAGTTTTATACAATTTCCAAATACTTTTACCTTAAAAGCAAAATGAAATCATGTACTACTGTAGAAGTTTTAATGTCCTAAGTGTTAAATGTATTTGTCTTTGATTTGGGATAATTGAATGAAGTGAAATTGTTCTAATAAAAAATATGCTTCTTTCTGTCTTTCTACATTAAAAGTGAGACCTGATTTGTCATATCTTTAAAAAACAGGGAATGTGATTTTTCTTGTCAGTAATCATTAAGGTGTGAATATTTCACTTCTAGTGCAGTTTGATGATTGAACTTATAAAAAATACCTAGGAAATAAGTACCAAATTGAGTGTCTATGAAAGTAAAACTCAGAATGATTTAAATAATGGAAGATTATGGATAGAACCATGCAAGCTCTTTCTCAAACCAGTGTTTTTATTAAAATGACTTCAGTTGACATACAGTATTACATTAATTTCAGGTATAAAAACAGTGATTAGATGTTGATCTGCCTTACAGTGTGATCACTCCATTAACATAGGAAGAGCCAATGATCAGTGGCAAATCAGGAAATGCCCAAGGGAAAATGACTTAGCTACCTACCCCTATGCAACTTTTCAACCTCATTCAGTTAACTAATGAAGACTGAAGCAAATAACCACAACCAAACTGCATACCCCACAGTTTTCGTGGGACATGGTTTTCTAAATGTTTTTTTCTTTTCTTTGTGTTGTTCAGTCACCAGGTCACTTGTAGGAATCTCCATATTCCATAGGAGGAAAATTGCCAGTCTGAAAGTTCAATGTCTTTAGCGTTCTATTGCTTATGACATTTTTACCCTCTAGGTGCCAACCTGGATTCACTGGAGCGAGATGTACTGAGAATGTGCCAATGAAAGTCCAAAACCAAGAAAGTATGTTAAAATAATCTGAAATTTGCTTTCTCCCCAAACTACAGCAACAATCACTACCGCTTGGTGTTTTTACGGCTCAGTTGTAACTGATTCCTTTTGTTCTAATTATGGTTTGACCACTCGGGGCACAAACCATTCGATCTGACCTTGTTCGCCTGTCTCTTAACATGGGCCCCAAAGGTCGTAAATCTAAATGAATGACCCACCAGGAGGGCTCATGATGCTAGCAGTAATGGCAGGCAGGCCAACCAAAAGAAAAATTTTTTCCCAACACTTTTGTCTAAATTTATCAAATGGAAAACTGAGATGAAGAAAACCTCAGATTTAATTTTAAGTGCCTCCTTCTGAAAGGAAGCAGTCACTTAAAATGCTAGGATCTTTCTGTCCTACAAACCCAAGGACTACCTTTGGTCCAAATTTTTAACCCTTTGTGGGAGATGCCAGAGTCTGAAAGCCATGATGAGGACAAAGACTCAGTTCCTGAGGGCGAACTCACCAAGTTCAGTCAAATGACACTGAAGGAGCTTCTTTCTAGCGTGTATTCACCTCTTCTCTTTTTCTCTGTTTTTTCTACCATTGTTTTTTGTTTCTTCTCTCAGGTGCCCAAATGAGTTTACTGGTGATCGCTGCCAAAACTACGTAATGGCCAGCTTCTACAGTACGTCCACTCCCTTTCTGTCTCTGCCTGCGTAGGAGCATGCTCAGTCGGTGCTGCTTTCTTGTTGCTGCATATCTTCCCTCAGATTTCACCTAGAGCTAGATGTGTTTGAGCAGGGCTAACATTGACTGCCTCTGCCTGTCGCATGAGACCATTAACAAAAGCGATTGTATTACTTCCTCTGTTCGTGACTAGTTGGCTCTGAGAATCTAATAGGTGTGTGAGGCTCCCGATGTTTCTGAAATTGATACTGAATAATGTGATCCAAAATGATAGTCAATATCAAGCAGTGCAATTATAATAAAGGCATTTAAAAGTCTCACTTTTATTGGTAAAAATAAAAGCATTCTACTGAACAGTCCACCTTCTTTATAAAGTGACAACATCCTGAGAAAAGATGTTGCTAAGTTGTAACCAATATGCACTTGAAATGATGGTAAGTTCATTTGGGTTTCAGAATGTATTTATTATGAATAAACATAATAAAAAGAGTTCAGATGTTTTTCTTCATTAACCAGCAGTTTACATTTAGGTATTTTTTTTAAAAAAGCACTGAGTAGGAAAATTAAAAACAAACATTTCACAGCAAGTGAGGTAGCCCAGTTTCTGTTTATGATGCTTAGGAAACAAGTGGTTCAGAACCAGCTTAAACAGTTATTTATTTATGTTAGCATTTCTTTATTGTTAGTTTTCATTATAATTTTAGGAGAAAGTAGGTTTTTTTAATATTTCTTATTTACTTTGAAACTTAACAGTTCGCTGCTAGATATATATATAGAGAGAGATATAGATATAGATATAGATATATAGATATATAGATATATAGATATTAAATGGAGAACTGAGAAATTTCAATGGGTTTCTATGGCTTCAGGAAGTTTTGAACATCACTCCCAAACGACCTAATTCACATTGCATATAATTGCATGGATAACTAAACTGTGTATTTATCCTTCTATTGTGAATTGGGATTATAGCTTTTCATTCTGGAGCTTCCAAAGCACTGTATTTAAAATGGATTCCATAAAACTATCCATTTAGACGAAAGGTAGACTTTTTTTTCTGCAAAGAATCAGGTAGTAGTAAATACGTTAGGGTTTGTAAATGATATCATCACTATCAACTAATTAACTGTCATTGTAGCAAAAATAAAAGCAGCCATAGACAGTGCATAAACTGATGAGCATGGCTGTGTGCTATCAAAACTTGATTTACAAGAGCAGGCTGTGGGCTGGGTTTGTCCACCGCTGATTTAGATGGTCTATTTCTCGCCCTCAATAATCTTACACATAGCTCATTGCCATGTGAGTTTATGGAACACAAGGTACAGTGATAACAGATGGTCATTTGGAGTCCCTAAAAGAAGGGATTTACCGTTAATCATATGCATGCAGAGAATAAGATTCTCTTCCTTGAACACAAGGAATGATTATTCTAGTCATAGAATAATGAACTCCATGGAAAAATAAATTCCATGTGTATTAGGGAGAAATTAGACCCATAATATTTAATAACTTATTTAGTGAAGTGGTACTTATTATATATTTACATAGATGTTTTGGCCATTTGGCCATTTCCTATTGTAAAAAATTGGCAAATTGACATTACTAAATTTTCAAATACAGTCTTCATTTTATTGAAAAATCTTTTTTGATTTTTGTTTAGTTATTGATTGAAAGAAAGAGAAGAAAAAAGGGAGGGAGAGAGAGAGAGAAACACATTGAGAGAGAGTGAGAGAGAAACATGGATTTGTTGTTTTATTTGTTTATTCATTCATTAGGTTCTTCTTGTATGTGCCCTGACCAGGAATCAAACCCACAACCTTGGCTTATTAGAACAATGCTCTAACCAACCGAGCTACCTAGCTGGGGCTGACAAATCCTAAAATAATATGAATTTAGCGAACAGAAGTTTTCTCTATAGTTATAGATTGATTTTTTCAGGTACATAATATGGAAAGTAAAAATAGAAGGGAAATAATAGAATTTTACTTAATATATTAAAGCCATTCCTTTTAGAAATACATTTGTATTTAAAAATATAGATTTATCAAATCCCTGACACCATATCAATAAAATGAAATTATATTTTATAATTTAACCAAAATTCTGAACATTCACATTATACTTAAATTTGATGTTATGTAGTTTCATTGTGCAGTGAAGGTGATTTGGGGCCCTATGTAGAGAAAAATCATTAAAAATTAAGCTATTTCTAAAAGTAATAATGCCATTGGATCTGAGAGTTGTAATCAGAGGAAATATTCTCAACTTCTCTTTTAGACCATTTTTCATAAGATATTATTTTTAAAAAGCCACACTATGTATATTTTTAATAATTTTTTAATTGATTTTAGACACAGAGGAAGGGAAGTGGGGGGAGAATGAGAGAGAGAAGCACCAATCGTTTGCTTCCTGTACATGCCCTGACCCGGGATCGAACCTGCAACCTAAGTATGTTCCCAGACCCAGGATCAAACCCCATGACCTTTCAGTTCACAGGATGACACTTTAACTGAGCCACCAGGTCAAGGCTGAGCCATACGGTGTATTTAATCAGAATGTGACTCCTTAAATAAACTCTTTAGTAAGCTTTCAGTGGCACTTCTGGAAGACATCCAGGAAAGCAGCATTCAGTCTCACCTGGTTTAACAAAGATTGATCAGAGTCACGCTTGTGAAAAATCTGGAATTGTGGCGCATAGGCGCTGCCGCCTTCCCGGAAAAGTGAGAAACTTCCGGTCAGAACCTGCTTTCCGAAGCTGTCCTGCCCAGAGTTAATTTGCTCACCTCCGTGTCTTAAATTCTCAATTTTGATTTCTGCAAAGTCCCCCATAGAAAGGAGGAAAATAAATTTTCACTCTTCCAAGAACTTTATGTTCAAGTAGCAATGAGGGCTGTATAAAGAGTAAAAAAACATTCCCCCAGTGGTAATGTTTAAAATTTAATTGTTAGTGTTCCTAAAGTCTGAAACACATAGCATAAATCTTAAAATTAAAGATTTTCTTCAGCTTTAAGAGAAGTATGTTCCAACTTGCAAAACCACACTTGCAGTTGAAAAATAACATTCTAAAGGAATGTACAATTCTTAACAATGCTTATTAGCATATAAATTACATTTTCAGGATTTGATGCAGCCTTTTTGGTCAGTGTCCTATGAGACATTTTATTGACTTAGAAAAACTGATTTAAAATATCAAAGAAAGGAGCAAGTGTTTATTTTATATGTTTTCTTGGAGATAGCCATGTGCCTTGAAATAAAACATTTGTAATACTTTCTAGGACAATATTGCCAAGGCTAGTCAGCTTCAAATTTGACCTGTTGAAAGAGAATTTCTGCCCTGGTTGGGGTGGCTCAGTGGACTGAGTGCCAGGCTGTGAACCAGAGGGTCACCAGTTCTATTCCCAGTCAGGGCACATGCCTGGGTTGCAGGCCAGGTCCCCGGTAGGGGGCACTTGAGAAGCAACCACACGTTGACGTTTCTCTCTCTCCCTCCCTTCTCCTATGTCTAAAAATAAATAAATAAAATCTTTAAGAAAAGAAACAGAATTCCTACTTGAAAGGATGGTGTTCATCAGTGTGTGGGTGTGTGCGTGTGTGTGTGTGTACAGATGATCCATACTCAATATAGACTTCATGAGAGGGGGACATAAGCACTCAAGGTCTCAACAGTTGGAGGAAAGAAGCACGGGGCAAGTGTGTAATACAGAAACTAACATCACAGGCAGTAATTATAGAATAGTCCAAAGTATAGGATATCTTTAAAAAGGGCAATTTTAGAACTTTTAGGCATATTCTCAGAATGAGTAAACTTAGCAGATATCCTTAAAAGTTAGTTTTGAATGATAAGTTGCTACTGCCTAAATTGTTTTGGCTTCTAAATGCTTTAAAAATCTGTGGAAGTTACTAATGTGTTTACCAAACATGTATCTTGCTGACAGTAGAATAAAGGCACACACTCAGTCTCTGACAAAATCATCACGCACGGCAGCTGAGTGCAGTGAGGTTTCACTGTGTGTGTGTTTGTGAGTGCACTCTTGGGCACACAGAAATGGGAGTAAGGAGAAAGTCTTCTCTTACATTTCCAAGGGCTCAGTGACCACATGGATTGGTATATGTGAAAAGCAAGTACCTACATCTGTAAAGGTAAGTTGAAAATGAAAAGTCAGACATTCAATTGGCCCCATTTAGAATGGGCATTGACAGACTCCTTTGGAAATCTCAGAGGTGTAGAAAGTCAAGACCACACACAGTCTTTGAGATGATTTCTATAAGGAGACCCAAGATGTTCAAGAGTAAAATCCTGAGTGCCTCCAAATTATACCAGAAAACATAATTGCATGTACATATAATTTTGGTAAAAGAAAGTTGTCATCTTCTTTTCTCTAACGGAATTGAAAATTTAAATTAACCTAAGGTTAATCAGTTTTCCTCAAACAATTATAAAATCCTAAAGCAAAGGATTAGTGAGTCAATATTTAATAGTGTCTGCAGACTCTTAGATTTAAATTAATTTTTTATATTGCCTACTGCACAGCAGGAAATCACATGTAGAAAAGGAAACTAAATTGTTTACAGTAACCCTTGTGTTTTTGAATTATTAATTTAATTTGAAAAATGTAGTGGCTAGGCAGAAGTTCAATAGGAAGTGTATGATACATAATGAGCCGAAGCCAACATTAGATTAAATAGAATAGATAGACAGTAATAACCTCTTCCTAAAATGGAAAGTGTTTGTGTATTATGCTTTTCTTGACTCACAAAGGAGAAATGTAGCCACCAGTAGTAACAATAAATTAGAGTAGTGTTTGCTCCGGGTCTCGAATGACTGATGCCTGTCTCCTCTGCTTGTTTCCTTGTTAGGGCTCATGGCCAGAAGAGATTCCGATTTTAAGTACCAATTTCCCTTTGAATTGTTTGAAATTGGAGCTGCCTGATATGAAGGACTTCCCATGAAATGAAATTAGAGCTAGGCTCACAGACTTACCTATAAAACTGTAA